CTTTTATCTCATGGTATTTTTCGATAAACCTAATAATTTTATTATCTTAAATTTTTCGGTGAAAATTTTTTTGTTTCGTTTTTTTGTGATTTTTTCTTCAAAACAAAGCAAAAACGAACAAATCTCTTAAGGACTTTTTTTCTTAGTTTATCGATCTTTTACACGCTCCCAAAATTTTGACATTTAATTTCGGGACATCCTCCAACATAATTATGAAAAATAAAATTTATTTATTTCAGAAAATTCATTTCATTTCATATGCATAGATAAATAAAAATTCTTCAATAATAACTTATTATTGCCGTCCTATTAGTAGTACGAGAATAACAAAACATCACGCGCAGTTAATAAAAAATCGCATTAATAAATCCATAATATTTCTCCGCATTTTTGATCCACACAATTATGGATCTAGCGCGGACATGCATCAACCGGCCATTTGACCGTGCCACCGAAAAGTGAATTTGGTCATGTAGTTCCGCCGGCTCTAAAATGGATCTAGTTGGCGCTATTGTATTAACTAGAAAAAGCGTCATACAAAAAAGCAGCGACGTGGCCTCTCTCTCTCTCTCTCTTTCTCTATCAAGCTTCTCTCTGTTTCACTTATCTAGCATTTCATGCATCTATAATTTATGAAATTCGAGAGATAAATGTAAAATTAGACATAATTCAACTATATATTCATAAATAATAAAAAAAAATAAACATAAATAAAAATATAAATATAAATAATAATTAAAAATTATATATAAACATTTTATTTGTTATTTATTATATAAATAACTTAAAGAGAAAAAAGACATAAAATAACAAGAACATATATTTCATTAAGCTTATATCATTTTATCTTCAAGTTACTGAAATAAACAATAAAAATTGATAAAGAAGAATATAAAGAAATATTTGCATACAGGAATTACAGAATGATTTTATTTTAACCTGTAGATATTGAAAATGTTACTCATAATAATTTACAACTCACGATATAATTACACTTCTTGTTATTATCAATAGACTACGTATGCAGGTTTGTTAGATTTATAATTTATAATAAGCCATAATTAGCCAGAACCTACATCAATCCCAAATGTTAACAACACTTTTTATGTCATGAAATAACGAGTAGAACGTGCAGAGACATCGACTGGATCAGCATGTGCAAAGTGTTCGAAAAACAGAGGTTCCCTAAACTGATTTTCATCATCCAGGAAGTATATTGGTTCTCCGTAGTATGTACCAACTTCCCATCCCTCGACATTCTTCATTAACTCTGCTTCCTCATCTCGATTGCGTCTCATTTGTCTCAAGACACTACACAAAAAGAAAGAAATTATTAGGCGTCAAAGAATTCATGGTCATCTAATTAATATCTAATTGCTAATTGGATCAAAAGTACACATGGACCTGTATTATAGTTACGCATAGTTCACATTCTTATATTTAAGACCATCTTAAGTGTGGTCTCAGGTCTCAGGTCGTCTTAAGATTCCATCTAGCCAATGAAATATGACATTTTCAGACCTTATTTAAAAGGATCTTAAATATAAGAACGGATTATGAATACACAGAATATGACGTCCGTACGCTCTATCTCGTTCCGCTATCAGTGCTGGCCATATAGCCAGACGTGCGCTTCTCATCTCAATCTGATTCCGTTTAACCAACTTATAATTCAGATAGTGGGTGTAGGCTCCCAAAGCTGTGGTGGCCAAGAAAATCGCCAACGTACTCCTCGCTGCAAAGTTGTAATGAAAACATTATTATGTAACACTGTAGGCCACTGTTAAGTACCCGATAAATAAAATTGTATTGTAAATATAAAATTGTATTGATATAGCTGATAAATCTGTCGTGCTTTACCTCCGAGAACGGTGCGAATTTTCACCCGATCCGTTTGTATAGGATCATAGCCTCCTTTCGGTGGTAGGTCCTGCACCCTTTTGCCCGCCGTAGTTGCGTCCATTCTTCGTCAGTATTTTCTCCTGCGACAGTGTTACTCGAATTAGAATATCACTTAATTATATCTCACGCGTGAAAGGACCTCGGAAATATTATTCGTCCATCATACGTCACACTTGTTACTTGTTCTCCGTCTCCGTAGTAAAGAGATAGAAATTCAATGTGTAACAATACGATACTAATCATAATATATATATAATTTGATTACTAAAGTCCTGCCGAATTGACGTAAAGATAATTCCAGAACGTTTAGATTTTAATCGTCTTTTATATTTTTTCGTTGTTTGGATAAAGTCCACAATATGGACAAATCAAGAAATGTATCTTCGGTTTTAGATCTCAATAAAGTCTTATTCTCATAAATACATATTTAATTACAAATTCATTTAATTTGTATGTAATCAATTATTAATTATCAGATCTGATTATCAGAATTATCATTATTTTATATTCATCTTCGAGGCACATTCGATTCAGAGAAACGTAAATGTTTAAAATATCGACGCTTCAAGTTGAATACAAAATTCGAAGATTGCTTCCAGAGAAAGATCGTGACCAATCGAACACCTCGAAACGTTCGCGACGCCACGTGGAGTGCACGCTCTTGTCAAACCGATACCTTTATGCTCGCCGCGACATCGAAGGCGACGCAGCTCCATCTGTGAGTCACGACACATAATGGGATGCCTTGCTGTTGATTGCATACTGAGAAAATTCGTAAGAGATGGTGCTGAACGGGAAATATTGAGGACCTGCTGCGAATAGGTATGCGACTTGTAAGTGCAATACGAGTATTTTCGATTCGCGTATGTACGCGCACGAAGCGGATCGGTCGCGGAGCCGGGTAACGCTGATCGCGGGCGACTCGAAGAGGACGCCGTGGACGCGACCAGCGTCTTTCTCCGGGCCGTTGGGAGGATGTGGCACGCGATTATAACGTAATGTCGTTCCCCCTCGAGATCAAGTCGCCCGCGCTCTCGATCCTTTCGATATCCTCGCCTCTTTCTTTGCAAAATCGCGTTCCTTGATGCGAGGGATGCGGGAAAGATACACCGTATTTTTCTTTGTTTTTTTTTTTTTTTTTTTTTTTTTTTTTTAATTCCCGTGTAACATGAAACGCGCGCGCGTTGATATTATATGTGGAGTATCGCAAAGCGCGGGGCGAAGATGTTAGAGTTGCATATGCGGCCCTTACTATCCTCGATTGAATGAGGATGGATTGGTCTGTCGCGTACGACGTGTTGATAGAATATTTTCAAGCTATTTTGCGTTTCCTTAGATTGAGAAGATTAGACTTACTGTTGTACTCACACACTCATACTCACATACACACACATTTCATTTATAAAATCGTACGTCAAGATTATATGTTACTCTACTTTTTCCGATTGTGTGCAATGTACTCATGCAATAGTAGATCATAATTGTTATAGTTATTATAATTATAGTATAAAAAAAAATGCGATGTAATTATTTTATCCGATTATCTCATACTATTGTGGTACTTTACTGTCACAATAATGTATATAATATAATGTATATATATATACACAAATGCATTTTATAAATCTACATATTATTTAATGTTTGTAGAATAAAGTGTAAAGATTATAAGTAAAATAATGAATAATTGACATAAATTACTTATCCAGATCACAATTCTTTAATTTATTAGATAGTATATTATATGAAAGATTACAGTTTTCAATACTTTATTTTTTCTGTAATTTGTAATAATCCAAAAAATACAAAAAGATTTAGTTTATTTAGTAATGTTTGGACATTTTTCTAATATTTGTATCCAACTATTATGTAATTTTTATTATGTCAATCAGGAGGTGTTAATATTTTTATCAAATTCTTCATAATGGAGTCGGGAATAATTCAAGAAAAGTCACCCCCTTCACGTGGGTTAAAGCAAGTAAAGGTGGATAATTGGGGATCATTTTTTCTCCAGCGAGTGCAGCAGCTTTACTCCGATGAACAATTTCTTGATCTTAAAATTAGATTTCCTACAAGTGATATTATTGTACAGGTATAAATAATATGAGATATTATTATATATTGCTTATATAATAATTCTGAATACATAAATAACAATTTTTGTAGGCCCATCAACTTGTAGTTGCAACATGTACAGACTATTTTATGCAACTTGACCAGCAGCAGAAAGAAAAGGATGAAAACTTTAATGGTATACTTACTATGCCTTCAGACATGCCTTACGAGTGTGTTAAATCTATTATAAGGTGTGTGTACCTAAATATTTATTGTTGAAATATTCTTATCAATTTTATATGTATGATTGCATTTATATGTACAGCTTTATGTACACTGGACAATTGGAATACTGGACGTCGGAACAGCATGCTTTGTACCGTACGGCGCAAAAAATGAATATGACAGTGCTAACAAAATTGCTCGATGCTCAATTCAACACTAGCAATTTACAGGCCGAAACGGCAAAGACACCCCCGCGATCAACGATAACCAGCTCGAAACCGTCAACTCCAATTACAAAACCTGTTATTAGCTCTATGTCGACCTTATCTGGTCAGCCATTGCCTGGCAGAAAGTATGTATTCCATGATATAATGTTCCAAGCACAATTTTATCTATAATAATAAAATATCAATAATTCTTCATTATTATTAAAGACTTCCAATTTGGAAGAGAAAACTGGACGAGTCTCCATCTATACCTGCAATGAATTACGAAGTACGAACATTCCATGGCACATCGTCGATGCACAAACCTCAAGAGGCAACTCCCGGTCCATCTAGATTCGATTTTCCGGAAGCGGATGATATTGCTCTTGGAGTATTTTCATCGTTCGACGATATTACGTATAATACAAAGCCTATTGTCCAAGCATCGGATGCGTATAAAAAAGGAAACGCCTCTCGTAAACGTTCCCCAGATAGGGATAGTAAAAATGACACAACTGAAGATGAGGAGGAAGAAAATCAGGGGAATGAGAAAAGTTCGAGAGACGCGAATTCGGATGATGATTGGAGTATATCGAAGAGTTTCCAAAAATCTTCGGAAGGACAGTCCAAACGAGTGCGTTTCGATCTGGAAGAGAAGGAAAATGTGGAGAAGCCTACATCAAATCTTCGATCGAGCACCGACGATTCCATCAACAATCACGCAAAGATCATTAGAGAAGTATTAAAGAAGTATCCGCATTTAGTGAAGAACAATAAAAATATTCGATTGAAGATCATGCAGAAGGAAACGAAATCCTCCGATAGCAATACCGCGTGCAAAACAAAAGTATCTTATGTGGTTCTGAAATCCGATCACCTATTGTCCAATAATGGCGATGAGAACGATTCCAAGTGCAACGGCAATATCGATGGCGAGACAGGTCCCTGGAAATGCAACAAATGTGACTTGGATGAGGAGTATACGAATTACTACATGTATAGAAGACACATGCAGGATGTACATGAGGAGAAGTTTGATCCGAGAGTTTGCGAACATTGCGGCTACAAAGCGACTAAGCGCAACATCCTGATGTATCATCTTTATACCAAGCACAACGTGCCACCGCCTAAGAGCATGTGCTTCCCAAAGTGCCAGGCCTGCTCGTATGTCGCTCTCTCGGAGACTTTGCTGGTGCGTCATCAAATAAATCATAATCATCGACCCGCTACCAGACATCATTCTCTACCTTCTGAGGATATTCAATGCGGCCAGTGCAATCAATCGTTTAAGAGCATCACCGAACTTACCACGCACGAATTGAATAGCGGACATGGAGGTATGGCAGATGGCAAGGAGACGAAGGGCCATCGTTGTCCATACTGCGGCAAGGTCTTTGTGCGCCTAACGAATTTGCAAGTACATTTAGACTGCGCGCACAAGGAGTTACATAGGGATACGAGTGAATCCGCGCCGTCCACACCGACCATCTCGCTGGAACCATCATCCGAAGCAGAGGCTCTCAGCCACGTTGCCAGCGGCATAGCCGCTTCTCTCGGTGTTGGAGATGATACAGATGCCACTGTAGACACACAAGAGGCTGCAACTATAACGATGGTAAAAACCACGAATGACGATCAATACATCGTGCCAGACATGTTAGATGACATAACGCATAATATCACTTATAACGAGCATGAGTTAGAGGGTCAGGATATGATTATGCTGGTGAATAACGATGAAAATTATCAGCACGTCGAGAACGATCATCATCAGCAACCGCAGCAGTTGGATATCGCTGATAATGAGCAGATAGTGATGCAGGGTACAGACGATGGAATGATCGTATACATTCACGGCGTCGAGGAGACTGATCATCGATCTTATGAGAGTTATCAGCCTGCTGAAGTTACGCAGGATACCGAGGAAATAGTCGAGGAAGTAGTTGAAGAGGTCGAAGAAGTTATGGAGGAGGAGATGCAGGAGGTGACTCAACACATGTTGGAGGATTGTGCCGATAATCAGGTCGAGGAAGTGATACAATACGTCGAGGAACAAACGGAGATAGTGGAGTATGATGAGGAACAATGCAGCGAACAGAGTAATAACAGTATGGATGATAATCAAGAATCCGTCATGATTATTGAGGAAGAGCACGTCGAGGGAGAAGAAGATATGGAACAAATAACTGATAAACAGCACAAGAAAATGCAAAGTTTCGCCACAGAATGGGACGAGGATAGCGCGGAAACGATGGAGTCATGAATATTGTAACGTTGAATATTATCTTATTTGCTTATGTAATATGTTATTAATTTTCATCATGGCTATATTCTCTAATTAAATGTTTCAATGAAGTCTTGTTTTATACTTTACTCTGTGTAATGCTTGTTGATAGTGGTCGGTGATGTAACAAATGTAGTGTAGCCATGCTGACTTCGCGATTTAGCAGTAAACCAACAAAATTAATCACGTTTTATATTTACTAGCAACAGGGAATACAATATGAATATTGAAGAAATTGTACTGCGCTTGTATATGTGAATTCTATTGTTGCACCGACACATTGTAATTTTTGGATTATCTTATTAATGCAAGCTTCTAACATGTGAAGCAAAATATAATATATTTTGCAATGCAAAATACAAAAGTACGAAACGTACATCTCGACATGTATAGCCCTTACATTTGTAAAAGCTCTGTATAAGGATTTATAGTCTCTAAATGGAAAAAAAAATTTTTTTTATTATTATAAAAACGTTTATATCTGCTTAAATATAAATCTTATAAAAATATATGTTACACTTATTAATTAAGAATATAGATTAATTTTATGAAAATCCACAGTATATGCCAAAGCATATCGCTGACCAATCTCGTAGGTTAATACTGTTCTGGAAAATGAAAATATATCACGTAAAAAATAATTTTTAAAATAAATGTTTCTTCCAAGCTCTGCCTTTTACAATATGATAAATAATAAACCCTAATTTCTATAAGGCAAAAGCTTATATACATATAATTGCAAGTTATAAATGCAATTGGTTTTACATTTTAAAGTAAATTTTGCCCAGTCGTATTATTATCATATTACATAAAAAATGTACATAAATAAACGCAAAATATCTGTATCGATCATTTAGTACACGAAATTTAGCTTTATATGTATATACATATTTTGGCAAATATTTTTGTTGATTCTACTCCCAGCTTCTGTAAGGTTAGAGGTACCCTAAAGCCCGTATCAGACTACGCATTGAAAATTGAAGATTAAAGACTGAAATTTGACTAATTAGAACAAAAGAAACTGCAGATTTCTTTGTCCTGATTACTCAAATTTCAATCTTTGATCTCAATCCTCAATGCGTAGTCTGCATAGACATATAGAATGGACTGAGCTTACGATAGACAAAAGACAAACACGTGCTCGCTGTAGAGAGAGAGGTACTATATGGGAGGCCTATTTTGTCTCTTTTCCTAGCATCTCATTGGTGATTTTATCCCCCTCCATATAGAAAATCACCAATGAGATGCTAGGAAAAGAGACAAACATAGGCCTCCCATATAGTACCTCTTTTTCTACAGCAAGCGCACGTTTGTCTATCTCACAATGCTCAATCCAGTCTATATATATCTATGGTAGTCTGATTAGTCTGATACAGGCTTTATCTTAGTGTTGTTAGAGGTTAGAGTGTTAGAGGTTAGAGTGTTAGAGCTGGAAGCAAGTATCGCAGCAACCCTAGTTGGAAGTTGGAAGCATTCTCAAAAAGAAAAAAACTAAAAAGAAGAGTGGAATATTTTTTGATGGGATATTTTATTTGCACGAAATAAGGAGATTCGCGAAGATTTTATAATGAAATTATAAAATAAAATAGAATTGAGAGAAAACATGAGTGGTCATATTGCACCAAGTAAGTCCACTGTTTATATGTCGAATTTACCGTTTTCCTTAACCAACAATGATATACATCAGCTGTTGGACGGTTATGGAAAAATTGTCAAGTGAGTAGTAATTATAACAATGAAGTGCCTTGTAATTTATTGTGTGAATGCCCATTAATTTGTCGTTTATATTTTCAGAGTAACGATATTGAAAGACAAGGTAACGCGACGTAGCCGCGGTGTCGCCTTTGTGTTATTTCTTAAAGCAGAAGATGCCGTATCCTGCGCGAAAGCCCTCAATAACAAAGAGGTAGAGATTTAAATTTTTGCCATTTATGCTTTATCGCTTAATACCGCGTTCATTTTTGTTATTTTATATATAATCATGATTTGATTGCTTATCTAACACAGAGAATCAAATTATGATTAACTTTTATATCAATGGAAACCATCTACATATTATTAACATCCCTCAATCTTTTTTTCTGTCAATTATATTAGATACTTGGTCGAACTGTGAAAAGTTCCATTGCAGTTGACAATGGTCGTAGCACTGAATTCATACGACGCAGAGATTATCCGGACAAATCTCAGTGTTATGAATGCGGACAAGATGGACATTTATCTTATTGCTGCAGCAACAATGTATTAGGTCCCAGAAAACCGCCACCAAAAAGAGTCAGGATACGAAAGAAGAATGTGAAGCAAGAGAAGTGTGATACTAGTTACCTCGATACTGATAGTGATGAAGCGACGAGAAGACCAAGGCGAAACACCAATGACGTCGATGATGTCGATGACGATACGGAAGAGGAGCCTGAAACACTAAGCGCTGTCATTGCATTTGAGGTATGCAGCTATAATGTTTAAATCTTTAATTAAAAACTGAAGAGAAAAAAAAAAAGAAATCTTATAGAATAAAAAGTTAACATTTTCATTGATATGTTATTTGACGATTTCAGCAAAGACAGATTGAATTGGAACATAGTCAAACAACAAACGAATGTAATAGAAAAGAAAGTTTATCTGTACCAAAAAAACGTTATAAAAAGCATCACTATTTTAGCGACGAAGAATATTTCAGTGAATAATATATATTATTATATGACATCAATAATATATAATATTGGAAATATAAATAATAATTAAAAGTGATTACTGTAAATTATTATAAATAATACTTCTAAGGGTTAGAAAATTACATATTTATTTATTAGCTTAAGAGAAATTCAACGAATTAATATTTAAAACTCGTGACATAAAATGTTTAAATCATACTTTTGTATTGGTAGATCTTTACCTTTTCTTGGTTGTTAAATATTCATTGTAACTTTTAAAATTTATTGATATTTTCTATCCGATTGAAAATTCAATGATTAATAAATATTATATTAATAAGTGAGCTATCTAAGATATCTAATTCAATTATTAATTTATGAAAATTATTGATATCATTCTTGTTCCTAAGGTCCAAAGTTAAAGAGCTATAGTAAAAGATACTCCAGATTTGTTCTTTTTGATTTAATTTTACTGTCAGCAATGGCAGGAGTATTAATCAAATAGTTTTAACATATTTAGAGATAAAAATTATCTTTCTCATATAAGCTTTGAGCTTGACACTTTTAACAAACGAGATTGCACAAACTATCAAATAACAATATTAATTACAATAGCGCATTTAATGCAGTTATATATATATATATATACAGAATGCCTCAAGTTAATAAAGTTTCATTTTCAAAGAAAGAATAAGAGATATTTTAAACAAAAATTAAAAATTAGTCTTTATTAAAAATTGCATGTTGTTTTTATATTTCCATATCTCTTTTAAATATTTAATATTAATCATCATGCGCTAACAATAAGATTCAATTTAACATCAAATTAACATGTGCTTTCGTACAACATTTCTTTTAAATATGTAATATTGATGATCTTGGTAACGCAAAATTTAAATTAATGTTGTTATAATGGAATCTATTTCAAAACAATAATTAAATATTTATGTAAAGTATATACATATACAATAATTATGATAAAATATTTAAACACATAACTAATATATTAATGTATTTATAATGGTAAAAACAAAAAATTATGAAATGCATTGAACGATATACCATTATTAAATAAGCACATATGTAAATATCATAATTCCTCAATAAATTATATATATATTACATACATTATATACATAAATTTTTTAACTTTTTAACAATTATATATTAATTTTTAATTATTTTATA